GAACTACCACTGCATTTCTAACATTACGTAAAGAAAATAACTGATCACAAGATAACATGCAACATGCAACCTATCTTCTTTTGCTGGTTCTATTGATATTTTTATCGAAACTACATACTAACTGAGGAAAAGCGAGCAAATCCTCTAGTAAAAACAACAATGATTGGAATAATACTAACTTCTTTGTTGCAGACGACTTAGGGGCAGATGGTGATTTGCCTGTAAGAATAAAAGAAAACAACATTTGAAAATGAATAATAAAATAGTAATAACAATAACTATGATACAGTAAAACCCACTTTTTAGACACCCTTATTCTGGGGACACTTTTTCGTTTATCGTGGAGAAATATATCTTTTAACACTATTACCAACCCATACAACTACAATAAATTCAAAATAACAGTATTTCATTTCAATTTATATTTTGACGACTTTTGAGCCATTAATTTAACATTTTATCCTGATATTTTAGATGGATATCAGTTGACGCATTGTGTGTGTTAGTTCCATAAATAAATTTTAACTCTCATTCATGGAATTTTTTTGTGTACTTTCATACAGCATTCAAATCCATACCGTAACCTGCACCCTGATTTTTAAGTCAACACGATATTAATGCCAATGTATCTATCATAGTACTAAATCATGGACAAATAAACTTTTAGTGTCTTAATTACATTTATTTTGACTTCATGTCATAAATGTATTGTATTTGCCATTGCAAATTATTGTTACAATTGTTACTCGTTCTTCTTAAGTCAATTTAAAAAAATAATAATAATTATAAAGAATGTGTGTCATATTTGTACACCTACAGGCAAAATCCCATATTGAGGAGCAATTTCATGTTTTCGGTTATGTCCCCTAAATAGGGATACCAACATTCAGAGGACACTCCCATTAAGGGGACACATTTTTAGTTGTTCCTTTAGTGGGGGTTCTAACGTGTTAACAATTATTTTAGTATAGGCCTAACAATAACTAGTGGCGTAACGATGGGGCCGGAGGCCCTGTGGCTTTTTGAAACTGGAGGCCCTTTTTGAGTCCAGATTGCCAATCCATCGTGGGATTTTAGATGTGCTCATTTTTTCATCATGTTTGAATTGTTATTCTAAATGTTTTAACGAAGAATAAATGATATAATAACAGGGTGGATCAAGGTATTTGAAGTAAAGGTGCTAGGGAGAGACTTTCACGGTTGGAGAGTCTATACCACCCCAGCCCCATCATGGTTAGGGCTGAGGCAAGAAAATGTATGATCATGGCATCTCTAGATGGCCGGAAATGGCACACACAGACATAACATTGTGAATATAATTTTCTTTTTATCCTCATTTAAATATATATTGAAAACTTTAGTGGGGCCCTGGGCCACTCCTCTCTTTATTCCGCCACAGGATATAATATGTCCTACATTCGATATCAGAGACACATTATGCCGTTGCCCTTGTGGGTCTGATTTAAGAAAATGTCTTATTATTGCTCGTCTATATCCGAAAAGGCACTTAAAATTGTGAATATAATTTTCTTGTGATCTCTATTATTAAATCCGCCACTGGATATAATATGATATATGCCCTGCAGTTGATTTCAGAGACACATTATGGTATTATGTATGAACAATCCTTTTTGGTCAGGTGCTAGACCGAGGAACCCACTGTTTCCTGAGAATATCAAGAACAATATATAACAAACACAATAATAATGAAAATAAACTTGCTTTTCTTCCAAGCGAACAGTAAGGCGAGGAGAATGAGACATAATCCAACAATGCATCCAATCACAATACCAGCAATCACACCACCTTTAAGCTCTATAGAAAGATGAGGATAAGCGATTATCAAACTAGTAAGGTAAATAATTATAAATTTTATTTCGTTTTGTAAATAATAATATTCTGATCCCAATTAAATAATACTTAAGTAAATGTAACTTTATTGCTTCTCTTTTATAACAGAGGCACAACCATAAAAGATGTGCAACAATAACAAACTCATTATAAACTGAATTACTGTGATTAAATATAGCAAGAAAATACTGTCTTTTTGTCTGTCTGATCTACACTGATGAGTCCTTAAAGGACGAAACAACGTTGTATGCAGATTGATTTAACTTAACTTAACTTAACAGACTATATACATAAATCTAAAGATCTTACTTTCTACTGGTTCAGGTGTCGGTTTTCCTGTAAAAAATACAAACAAAATAACAAAGTTTATTGTTTTTGTGTGGATACATGAATTTAGATTTGGATTTTTTTTAGCACGAAAACACACAAAGTTTAAAGCACGGATTTCTGACGACTTATCTTGACTGGGTACCGCCTGGTGGTGAATTTGGCAGGTCTAAGTCAAGAGTCCTTGGTTAAGAGAAAATCCACTAATATTTTTTCGTTGTTGGACCCTTATTGCACATGAGAGCAAGTACACATCAATGGTAGTCTATATAAAATATATAACAGTACATTGCCCAGAATAACCCCATTTGAATAAGTGCCCACTTACTGTTAAGTAAAAGACATTGTATTTTTCTAACCTAATTTGAAAGAAGGCTTCCTTTTCTTTTCTTTGAAATAGATGTTTCTGGTGTGTCTATCAAACTTAACAATTGACCAGTGAGAAGTTCTCAAAGAATACGCGCTTGTCTCACAAACACACGTGCTGACACATTTTTACGCTATTTTTTTGTGGGACCTAGCAACAATCTCTAAGGGGTGGGGCTTAGCAGAAAGATCCATTGTATGGTATAATCACGGAGGTATTTGAGAAAATCACCTGAAGAAGCTTCGCGCACGCAGCGCTATGCAAGTGGACGTACGCGATGCCTTCGAACTATAATGTGTTCCTTGATACAAAATGCTCAGCGGCTTAGTTTACCAAAAAATTGAACATGGCGAATTGAGAGCACCTTCTTTTCTTAACGCACACTACTTATAGTCAACCAGTATGGCTGCGCAATCGTTTCCACCTTGAATCAAATACATTTATCTTTCAAGAAATACGAAATATATTAATATTTTCTACAAAACAAAAAAAAATTGAATTTAATGAAACATTTACATGAGCTTTAAAAGTATGGAATATTTCAACTTGAATTTCCATAAATTGAATAAAACTCGATGATACTCTAAATTAGATATTAATTAAAGAATGATTGAGGATTGTAATAATAAGTCATTTTAGAGTTAACGAGGGTTTAGTTGAACCAGTCAAACAAGTTTCCGGAATCTGTTCCTGAAATATACACAAAAAATGCAATCGGGGGAACATTGTTAATTTTAAAGGTATTTATTGGGTTATAATCAAACGGTTTATCGTACAACTGCTATGTTTAAAGCGTGTGTGCGTGGGTTTGTGTGTGTGTGTGTGTGTTGATAGACATAAGATGGACACCCGGCGGGGAACACATTGGTTTGTCGCGTCAGGTCTGTTTCCGAGTGATGTCCTTCTCAATATGAGTGCGAAATCCAGAGAAACATACAAATTCGAATATGCGCTACTCTACTGTATTTACACTTCCTCATAACAAACATAACACAACATCCGCGTTTACTGCTAACAGACAAACTAGCATATGAGCTATCAAATCGTAAGTAAAAAAGTTAAGCGTAGAGTAAAGCGATCTGCGAAAAAGTATGGAAATATAATAGGAACCGAACCTATCGTGTCGACACTCACGAATATTATCAAGTGAATGAGTGTCTTTTGCAAATCTAGATACTTATAAAAATGCTATTTCTACCCAAGCCCGGAAATACCAATCACCTGATTTAATTATACAGTAGTCACCTTATTCTCAAAATGCAACGTTCATCAAAAATAAAATGTTCGTTTCAGTCTAATCTTGCTATTTTTCAAGCCTAAACAATAAGGTACAGTACGTCAAGTCGTTGCAAAGAATAGAAAGCATGATCCCTACCAGCCAGAGTACGTTTCCGGATTATATTTCGTTGAAACCAATGTTTGACTAGTATTACAGTGTAAAATAATACAGTCTAAAATATATACATTTCGATCTACGGCGGCTACACTCAATAACCCCTTCATGGTATAATAAGCATAATGTATCTACTAGCATATTTTTAACTGATTTTCATGCGTGGACGAGAATGAGCTCTGCGCATATTTGCATTTAAATTAATGATGGAACGTCCGCCCTTCCACGAGCGGGGTAGATTTTACCATTTTGATGGAATCAAGGAGAGTCTACATGAAACAAACGAACCCGAGCGGAGCCTTTATTATAAAGCTATAGCGCCGCCGCGCGGATGGGGTAAAATTGCTCTCCGTCCTCCCACAATGTATTTCGACCAACGTTCCACATTATATCGCGAAGCTGCTCTATCTTCTCCAATTTATTATCTTTGGAGATATGAAGAAGTTGAGTAAATTGGTTGTGATTAATGAAGTTTATTAGGGGTTATTAAGTAGGCCGAACTTCCTAGTAGGCATTTTTCAATACGGTTTACCAAAATGTATTTTAAAAAGTATTATGAATTATTTCAACGTTGCCTTATTTTTTCAGTTCCTTTGAAAGTCAATCACCTTGTTATGTCTTTCTTGGCCATGCCTATGATGGTCTAGGCTTTATTCGTGTTAGCCCGCGCCGTAGGGCGAGATTTGTAATGGTTCTCTGTGTGCATTCATAGCTTGGCCGCAACGAAATATTCCTTCGCGATAACTGTAGTAATATCTCCCCAGCTTTTAGCTTTTTGAAAACGAAACGCAAAGAAATCGGAAACACTATATCGATTAGTGATTAATCGGGAATAGAAAATTTCAGTGAAAATGAAAGTGATGACGTCACCACTGACTTATAAATAATAATTATTATTTACATTTTATTTAGTACAAAACTTATACATTTATATATAATTATTCAAGAGGGAATTTTCGGACGCCTGTTACAATCATAGTAAGCATATCAAATGTTTGGTCCCCTTAACTGCAAACGCGCAGCCGTGGAAATCATCTCTTAACCATTAACGCTTCTTAAAAACATCGCCTTTTTTTACTACAAAAACCGTAACTCATAAACGCAACCTCAGAAATTGACCAGTAAAAAGATTTTGAAATATTTCTATTATTAAAGGTACATTCGTTTGTTGGATTATTTCATCAAAAAGTATTCATACCAGAGGTTTAACAATTATAATGTTTATTGTTCTCAATTTACCATAAAAGCCCGTTTTAAATAGCGCCCTGTTAAAAGCTTCCGTTTATCGAGAACGATAGAAAATCTAAATGTACATCATTCCTGATGGTAACATACCGTAATTAATGTCGAAATATTGAATCTCGACACGATGGCGTGCATTTCGATACTTGGAGTATGTATTATATTTCGGCTAAATGTACAAAGTCTTTGCAAATATTTCTCACTGTACAAAATATCAGTGGTGGACAGGTTGGAAAATGCGGGGGTTGGGTCTTTTGTAGGCTCATTCAGAATAATACATTTATCGACAAGAAGAGAAGAAATAATCCTTAAAAATGACGTCTCACAGGACGATATTAGGACCTATCCTAAAATGTTTTCTCATTATAAATTAATTTTGCATCCACCCCTTTTCATACTGCATTGGTTGACGACAGTAAAATATTTTTTAATGCTTACCAATAAGGCATATTTCTTCTTCATCCCACCCTCCTCCTTCGATGTTAGTTGCTTGGCAAGAAACGTTAACACACGCTCCCGAGTATTCGTCGTTAAGTGTAAGAATGTCATCTTCTCCAGATTGTGGCTCACCATCAACGGCGAACGTGTAAGTGTAAGGCAATGGATAAGCAGACGCATTACACCGAATCTTATCAACACCCTCATACACAACGTTCACAATCGGTTTATCTGAAAACAAAGCCTAAAACAATTAGCTTACATTTTAGAAATGTCAATTGACGTGTTAAACAAAGTAAAGGCACCTTGCGTTGCCGAACATCTCACGACAATTCGTCCGCTGAATGCTTGAACGGGTTTTCAAGCAATGCCTGTTAGCTGTCCGTCGGTAATTATCAGCGGAACGTCGTTGAAAATCGTCTCAACTTCGACTGCCCACACTAGCGCAGTGTGAACTGTTCTTAAACGGATGCAAAAAGTCTGAAAACATCTCATTTGATGTTTCTTAATATAAATGAGTCAATGTGGAGACATGGTAGATGGCCTGAAAGCCAATTTGACTTCTTTTTGAATAATATTTTATTTGAAACGTTACTTTTCTTATAAAGTGTTTAGCATAGATTTATCTCAATTGTTGGCTAAGCGATTACAAATTAAAAAAAAGAAAAGAAACATTAAAAGTAAATTACTGTAACTTACGTTTTACGTTAAGATTAACGCCGTTACTGAATTTTGTACCAACGACGTTTGTTGTAGAACAATTGAAAACATCATGATCTTCTAGAGTAATGTTTGTTATTGTCAAGAGAGTTCTGTTATTGTGGAGCATATACCTGTCAATATCATTTTCTATTGTTTCGTTGTTTTTGTACCATATAATATCTGGCATAGGGTTTCCATCATGGTTACAGGTTAACGTTGCGTTTTCGCCTCGCGAAAATCCATTCCGGTTTTTGTCTTCCGGTGTTAATGACACAGTAGGAGCGGAAAGCCCTAACAAAAATATTTAGAAATACAATCAAATAGATTTGTGTGTATCAAATAAAATTAGCATTAGTTTACTGTTATTACTCGGTGTGTTCTAATGTGCTAATAATCTTTTAAACAAGAACGGACTTTATTGAATGCCATTCTACATGTGTGGTAGTCAAATATTTATAGTATTATAGTTGTGTATAATTTTACTGGACATAATAATTAATTTCCAAAAAGTGGCCGAAATTCCACGCCCACTAACCCCTGTCTCTTATACACATCTAGCCTCTCCACACACACAAAGATGACCACATGTTCAGTTGGTATTTTTGGAAAGGTCAAAAACTGCCCGTTTGACGGAAACAAGGGGTCAGAAGTCAATAAAGGTCATTTCTTGTCGATTTTACTATTAAATAATAATCGGGAATATAAAACATGTATAATACACCAAATACAATTATGTTGCACATCATATGAAAGCACATGAAATTGTCTATCCAGAGTGATACCAAACATGTTTTTGTATCTTCTTGTTTTAAGTACAATTTTGTCATTTTTTGTCAAAATTTGATATTTTTTTGTTTTCAATTATTTTGTAAAATATACTAAATGATCAGATAATTCAACCATTCTTTCTCACAATTCTACCAATTATATGATTGTGACATTGACATAAAAATGGAGGACTGAAACCATATACTTGCAGAGTATACTTAATTTTAATTTCTAACACTCGAAAATAACAAAAATATCAGAATATTAGCAAAAAAAATCAATATAGGTGATAGGCATAAAAATGAAAATGGCCAAACATAGACATGTTGCACCTCATCCGAAAGCCAATTGTATTTCCGATTGAATGCCATCGACCATATTAACATTAGGTTTACTTTCATGATATTTTTCTGTAAAAACCTGATTTTCAGTAATTTTTTGTTAAAAATTGTATATTATTGGTTTGGTTAGGCATTCTAACATTTGAAACCAAACATCAGTCGCATGCCCCATATGCAAATTAGTTCAAATATGCAAAGTAGAATAGAAATAATAGAAATCACAAATATTTGGGAACTGTTAGTCGCAGAGTTTAGCCTTCTTTTTCAAATTGTCCAGGGCTAAATGTTTTATTTATCTAATGCAACATTTGCTCTAAAAACGACAGGAAATGCCTCATTTGACATTTGACCTTTAACTAGAGGAAATTGCCCAGTTTTTAAATTTTCATACAATTTATCCAACTACAAACACTTTTAGAACGTAAAATTATGTGGCAGAGAGAGATACAGTAATTCAGTTTCTCCAACTAAACTATTACTTCAATCTGTAGTGACGACCCCCGTACGTTCGTACCCCGATCTACGCAGGAGGGCATGACCTCAAGGTCAGCTCATCTGCATAACCCACAGCTGTTATGTTATGTTTGAAAAGGTATGAAAGGTATCGGATAGTTGCTTTTTCTCTAACATTGAGAAAGCATCATCTAAATCCCGACATGATCTTCTCCAATACAGACCTAAAGCCAATACTACACGCATCCCCCTTATACTAGACTATAACCCCCGTATTTTTAAGCTGTCAGAATCCATTAAAGCGGATTTCCAGGTTCTGAAAACCCACTTACCTGACCACAAACCCTTCGAAAATCCCCCCATCTTAGCTAAACGACAGCCCCCCAACATTAAAAATATCCTGACTTTCTCCCATCTCCCTAGAATTCCCCCCTTAACTGGTAACCGTCCCTGCAACAACTCACGCTGCAAAGTTTGTGATATTCTCATCACTAGCAAATCTATCAAGCTCGGGGAGACAGGGAGCAAATTTAGACTTAGGTGTAACAATCACAAGAAATCGATTCGGGACAAAGCTCTGGGATTCCCTGTAGCACAACATTTTAATCTGCCTAACCACTCTGTTAATGATATGAAATTTGTATTAATTGCTTCAGGTTTTAAGTCTCTTACTGAGAGACGCTGTTCTGAATTGCAGTGGATTATGAAACTTAACACACACAAAACTGGTATCAACAAGGATCTTGGCTTCATAAGCGGTTATTCATTCACCAAATAAGATATATTTGTGATCCTATATATTTTCATTATCACTTAGACTTATTTTCATGAGGATGATTATTATGACGATGCTCATTTGTGATTAATATTTCATTATTACTTTTTATATCAGATTTTTTTTTATATCAGATTTATATCTATTTTTATTATTTCCATTATACACCAATTTTATATAGACCCTTTGTCTCATTTTAATTACTGTTCTCTCAGATTCTCAGTATTACAGTTGACTTCCTTATTATTGTTTATTTTGCATTGTTGTTTGTCACAAGCAATTTTACCGCCAGTCCTTTTTAATGCTTTCGACTGTTTATTAGTTTATCACTTCTCATTTACTAATTGCTGGCCTTTTATCTTACGACTTATCTTGGTTATTCACTTGATACTTTTAGTTTGATTTGTTCTGCAATTCTCATTCATACGTGTTAACGCTGAAGAAGGACACAGGCGTGTCCGAAATATTCGTTTGCAATAAATTTTATGTCTCTATTATGTCAACGTATGCTATCGCTTCATTTTCGTATTTACTTTTATTTATATAT